TCTTTTTTTGATTTTAATTTGTGGATTCTATATGTTGTTGCAGTGGATGGTTAGGTTTCAAGTCACCAACAGGAGATCAGTCAGATGCTTAAAAAGAAACCAAAAGTAGAACCAGCTACTTCACTTCCAATCAGGTAATGTACACGCTGACAGGCATTGTTACCATGGTTACCATGAATAATGAATGCACTTAGCTCAGAACACCATTACTGCCAGTAGCATTGAAACCTGCTTCTTTGTTTATTAGTACATGGCTTATATATTTATGATGGCAAATGTCAGAATTATTTGTGTCCCAGGCAATACAGCTGTTGTTGTACCTTATCTAATTTGTGTATGTTTTAAAATAGCTGACAAAATAGTTTGATAATTACAAGATGAAACTTGAGGAGTTTATTATATCATGTTGTTATGGACTGTTATCAATATGCATTCAGCTTTTGTCAACTTTCAACAGAAATCTGATTTGAGATGCTATTGAACATGGTAGAAATTGTTATTTAAATTGTAATTAAGGTAGATTGCTACTCATTAGTAAAAATCATATTCTTTGATTTGACAAATGTGACATTTCATGTTGAAAGGAAAATGAAATATAAATAGGGGTTTATATTACTTGGTTCTGGGGAAATCAATGTACAAAATGGAGTAAAAATAGTGTGTTTTGCCCGTCTTAGAGCATATTATCATTGTTTTCAATGGTGAGAATATGTTTAGAAATTGTGCTTAGTTACATATGGTGAAACAATCATATTTAGTGTTTTACAATATCCTGGTTCATGTCTAGAAGTAACACAAAATTATTTTTAGTGGAATTTTAATGACAAAGTGTGTTTTCATAATTGATATTGGGAAACCATTGGTAAATTGTCATTTTATGCAGATTGACAGTGAATTAAAAAAGTCCACAAACTGTTGACTAAATACTGAAACAATTAATCATGAAGAGCTTTAGACATGTCAAAATTGTCGCTGGTATATTGCACTAAAAAATGCCTTAATGTCAAAATCCACGCAAGTATTATTCTACCTTAAAAAATACCGAACAATTTTTCGATTTGGCAAAAATGGTAACTTTTGAAAATATTGTATCTGAAAATAGGCTATAAATTGTTACTTGAAATATCATGCTGTGTTTGTTATTACTTAACTCCACTGTTCATCTTCTCCTGTCATTGCTGATATCAATGAGAATTCTTGCGTTGATTTCAACTTTTGTAGGTTTGGATTACCAGATTTACGTCGCCATGGTGACAGTATCACCCTATCCCCCAGTCGTACACTAGCTGTGACAACTGATAGTTTTGGTAGGGTTATACTAATTGATGTTAACAGAGGGCATGCACTTCGAATGTGGAAAGGTCAGTCTCTTATAAAAGCTTACTAATGGATTACGAGTACAATAGCCGTGAATGTTATAGGCTGCACAGTCTATCAGCTTTTGGAACTTGGTTTTGTTATAAAATAGTTCTTATCCGACTCTGTACCTATTTGCTCTTATAAAACTGTAATGCGTCGTTGGATTTTAAATTTCAAACATGCGATGCAAATAAGTTCTAATGTATATGTTAACGAAGGACATTTTGTTATGTGACAATAATTTGTGCATCTGCATCTATCTAGGTTATCGTGATGCGCAGTGTGGATGGATACAAGTACTGGAAGATGTCAGTGATAAAGTAGATGCGGGCTTGAAAAGACGTCATCGAGGTAAAAGTTATACTGGAAGAGTGGCTCTGTTTCTTGTTATTTATGCTCCTAGAAGGGGAATAGTTGAAGTATGGAACACTCAACAGGGACCAAGAGTGGCTGCATTTAATGTCAGTAAATACTGTAGGTGAGTGTTGACTGTATGCCATGTCTGTAATCATGACCTTGTACC